GGTCCAACTAAAGATTAGAGTGTGTGACCTTTTTTTTTTGGTGGCAACTTTTTTTTTGGCCAGGCAGTGTATATATATGCTTTTTTTTAACATAGGGCCATCAACAGCATATAGTCACTGTTAAACCATCCACATTTTAAAAAGCAAGTGCTAATAATTCTCTGTGCCCTGTACACTCAACCCTGATCCTAAAAACTTAAATCTCAATAATTTTTTTCCCTAAATACAATATTGCCATTTACTAATTAGCCACCCATCGTTGGATCACAAAAGTAGTTTTGACTAAATCATTTAACAAAAGTGATATACTGGATCAACAAAATATTACGCCGACATTTTTTCCTTTTACTTTTTGTGATCCATGTATAAGTAGTTCCTCACATTTTTGGGGGCTCCTCATTGTAAAGTGATTAAAAGTAGCACTGTTTACAGTGAATGCGATATATCTTGCAGCCATACCGGCGATGTCACTGGTTTATTTGCCTCGTGACATTTTTATATTAATGCAATAACAAAAGCAGAGAATGGAAACTGCTAAGCTCCACCCACTAACTTTAACGCCCCTTAAGGAAATGGAACAAACTATGGACAGCTGTACATTTCTAAAAACTCCCTGTACAGACTTTGTTCTAGTGAATAGAGCAGCTCACTGCAATAAAGCTAATTAAAAACCATAAGACAACACAAACCATTCACTGAAACACTACCAACATCTATTATTATATATCTATGTTGCTGCATTTCTTTCTTACACATTCCTCCATACCTAGTATACCCTAAGTGACAAGGATCCTAGAGTGGGGATCCTTCACAAGAGAGCCAATGTGGGCTCACAAATATGTGAGTATCTATATTTACTTTTATTGTGCTATTTAAATGGGAACATCAGTATAGAAAGCCTCTTTTTTGTTGTGCTTACATATCCTGAGGACTCCCATCACTACGGATCCTATCCCATCATTCACAAGTGTGGATTGTACATCCCATGCCCATAAGAATAGACTGTGACTGTACTTACTTACCCTCATCACTGCTACCACTTTAAGAGAATACTACACTATTGGCTCCCTTTTTGTTTTCACATATTTTATTTTGAGGCGCAGCATCCATGTGTCTGTCGTGATTATATCTGCAGTTTCCATTCACCTCTTTATAGATGACTGGAGACACAGCTGGTTTAGAAAAGCCCATGGCATCTAACAAGGTTAAGTGTGTAGAGCCTAACCATTTAGGAGGGGCAGCCCCCACCACCAGTCGCCACTGACACACTTACTAGATAGTTCTACCATTCAAAATCCCAGCTCTTTCTTGTTTGAATAAGATAGCAAAAAAATCAGGTCAATATGGGGGAAACCCCCAAAATACAATTATTATGGTATATGTCTACTTTCATAAAAAGTTGCCTTTATTTTAATGATTAATTTCTATAAAGCAAAGAGTTGGCAAACAGAGCTAGAGACTTAACCCCAGCTCCAAAAGCTCTCATATTAAAATAGACAAGGGAGGAACATCGTAAACAGACAAGAATGAGTTTTGTGTTTTGTTTTGTATATTATTTAATTTTTTTGATGTATGGTTTATCTTTAATCTTTTCCGTTAAGCAATGTATATTTACATGCTAACCTGAAGAAAAGGTATGACTGAATCTATAATGCAGCACTCCCTTTGATTCAATACAGTTTAAACACAGTTCTCTATGAAGGCACAATTCTGTCCATCTGCATTTCTGCAGAGGCACTATAAATTTCCCAGTGCGTCTGTCTCCTCTGCAGCAACCTTTGCAGTTCAGACTTCATGATGTAGTACAGATCTGAACTACATGTATGAACGGATGTGTGGAGCAACGGTTCTTACTATGTAACCATTATTAACATTTAACATGCAGCCTGTGGACCAATACCCACAGTGTGCTTCAGCCTGCCCGATACCCACAGTGTACTCCAGCCATCTAGATGCCCACAGTCTTCTACAGCCTGCCTGACACTCACAGTGTGCTCCAGCCTCCCTGATACCCACAGTGTACTCCAGCCATCTAGCTGCCCACAGTCTTCTACAGCCTGCCTGACACTCACAGTGTGCTCCAGCCTCCCTGATACCCACAGTGTACTCCAGCCATCTAGCTGCCCACAGTCTTCTACAGCCTGCCTGACACTCACAGTGTGCTCCAGCCTCCCTGATACCCACAGTGTACTCCAGCCATCTAGCTGCCCACAGTCTTCTACAGCCTGCCTGACACTCACAGTGTGCTACAGCCTCCCTGATACCCACAGTGTGCTCCTGCCTGCCTGCCTGACACTCACAGTGTGCTCCAGCCTACCTGATACCCACAGTGTGCTCCAGCCTTCCTGATACCCCCAGTGTGCTTCAGCCTGCCTGAATCCAGCCGGATACCACCAGTGTGCTGCAGCCAGCCGGACACCCACAGTGTGCTGCTGCCTGCCTGAATCCAGCCAGATACCTACAGTGTGCTCCAGCCAGTCGGATACCCACAGTGTGCTTCAGCCGACATTATACCCACAGTGTGCTCCAGCCAGCCCGATACCCACAGTGTGCTCCAGCCAGCCCGATACCCACAGTGTGC